AAAAACCAAGATGGCGGCCATGTGACCTATGACCTTCATATTATAGTAAGCTCTGCAGAGCACGAGGCTCTACCATTGTGCAAAGTTTCAGGAGTTTTTGACTTACAGAGCACTTGTTACAGGCATTTGAAAAAGTGGCGGAATAATAATAATTTAATGACAATCAGCATGGGTTCAGGAAAGACCGTTCCTGCCTGACTAACTTGCTAAGTTTTTATGAGGGGGTAAGCAGAGATATGGATGGAGGGAAGCCGGTAGATGTGGTATAACTGGATTTCTCAAAGGCATTTGATACGGTACCACACAAGCGCTTACTTCACAAGCTGAGGGCTATGGGCATAGATGAGGTGGTGTGTACGTGGATAGAGAACTGGCTACGGGAACGTGTCCAGAGAGTATCTGTAAATGGCCCTTGTTCGGACTGGGCTAGTGTAATGAGCGGTGTGCCTCAAGGATCTGTGCTAGGTCCGATACTGTTCAACCTATTCATTAATGACATTGGGGAGGGAATAAATAGCCATGTTTCCGTGTTTGCAGATGATACAAAAATAGGGAGGGTACCAGACGGATCGTGACAATAAAACATTGCAGGAGGACCTGGATAAAATAGGGGAGTGGGCAATACTATGGCAGATGAGGTTTAATGTCGATAAATGCAAAGTAATGTACTTTGGACATAAAAATAAACAAATAGGCTATACAATCATGGGTATGCCGCTAGGGAAGTCAGAAATAGAAAAAGATTTGGGGGTCATTGTAGACCAAAAACTGAATGGTAGCTTGCAGTGCCAAGCTGCGGTAAACAAAGCTAGCAGGGTCTTGTCCTGTATTAAGAAGGGGATGTATTGCAGGGACAAGTCTATAATTGTGCCTCTATATAGATCGTTGGTTCGGCCACATCTGGAGTACGCGGTCCAGTTTTGGTCGCCGGTACTGAGAAGGGATGTCCTTGAACTTTTACGTTATCGCCTTTTTATTTTTTACATTTTTATTTAGAACAGTGTGAAAAGCACTAGCTCGGCGCCCGGAACTACATGTCCCGGGCGTCGGGCGATACGAATTCCACACCCCTGTATGAGACAAGGCTTCTGACCTTAAACATGTTTACGCTGGAAAGGGCCTATATGGGTTGGACTTGATGGACATATGTCTTTATTGAACCCCAAATACTATGTAACTATGTATCAATATGTGCCATTGCCTGAAGGTTTGCTGCGTCTCCCAGCAGAGTCTCAAGAGCATGGAGGAGATTCAAGGACACAGGCAGTTACTCTAGGAGAGCTGGACAGGGCCGTAGAGGGTCCATAAACCATCAGCAGGACCCGTTTCTGCTCCTTTGTACAAGGAGGAACAAAATGAGCACCGACAGAGCCCTACAATATGACCTCCAGCAGGCCACTGGTGTGAATGTCTCTGACCAAAAAATCAGAAACAGACTTCCTCTCATGGGCCCTATGCTCACTGCCTGGCACCGTGGAGGTCGATTGGCATTTGTCATTGAACACCAGAATTGGCAGGTCCGCCACTAGCACCCTGTGCTTTTCACAGATGAGAGCAGGTTCACCCTGAGCACATGTGACAGACATGAAAGGGTCTGGAGAAGCCATGGAGAACATAATGTTGCCTGTAACATCGTTCAGCAAAACCAGTTTGGTGGTGGGTTAGTGATAGTCTGGGGAGGCATATCCATGGAGGGACGCACAGACCTCTACAGGCTAGACCAGGTGTAGCCAAACTCCGACACTCCAGCTGTGGTGGAACTACAAATCTCATGAGACATTGCAAGATTCTCACAGCCGCAGACATGACTCCCGAAGAAAGAAAGCTGCATCATGGGATTGGTGGGCCGGAGTTTGGCTACCCCAGGGCTAGACAATGGCACCCTGACTGCCATTAGGAATCAGGATGAAATCCTTAGACCTATTGTCAGACATTACGCTGGTGCAGTCGGTCCTGGGTTCCTCCTGGTGCACAACAATGCCCGGCCTCATGTGGCGAGAGTATGCAGCCAGCTCCTTGAGGATGAAGGAATTGATACCATTGAATGGCCCTCACACTCGCCTGACCTGAATTCAATAGAACACCTCTGGGACATTAGGTCTCGGGCCATCCGACGCCGCCAGGTTGCACCTCAGTCTGTTCAGGAGCTGAGTGATGCGTTGGTCCAGATCTGGGTGGTGATACCCCAGGACACCATCCTTCGTCTCATTAGGAGTGTGCCCCGACTTTGTGGGGCATCCATACAGCACGTGGGGGCCATACAAATTACTGAGTACGTACCATTTTGAGTTGCTGCAATTACATTTTTAGCACAATGGACTCGCCTGCTGCATCATTTCTTCCCTTTGATTTTTGGGGTGTCTTTGAATTCAGCCCTCTGTAGTTTGATAATTTTCATTTCCATCAAACGATGTGGCATCCTTTTGTTCCTAACACATTACCCAGTCCAGTATACCAGGGCTCAGAATTTCAAGTCCTGAGCTACTAGCCAGGCCTTAAGAGTTACTCGCCACCAGTTGGCCCACCTAACACTTACCCTGCCCCGGCCTTAACTCCACCCCTAAACACTGCCTCTTAAATAATCTTATGATAATTGTTATCTTATGATAGTTTCCGCTTGTAAACAACAGATTAGGGATTCCTGCTGCAGGAAAACGCAAGTTCCTGACACAGGAATCCCTAATCACAGCTGAAATATACTGTAGGTGTGAATGGGGCCTAATATACCCATACACTAAAGGTGCCCATACACCTGCCGATTATCGTACGATAGATGTGGGTGATCCCGCGATCGTACGATAATCGGCAGGTGTATTGGCAGAGTGCGACCGCTTCTACTGTAAGGTCGCACGTCTTTTGTCTTCCGAACACGCTGGAAAACCTGCCGAGACGAATGCTGCACAGGCCGGTGTGCCCGCTCTGCACTGCAATCATCGGGAGGGCTTGCGATGATCTCAAGTACGATCTGCCTGTCCAAGATGGGCAGATCGTACGAAATTTTAATGACCTTACAACCATCGCACAACTAAAGTTGTGCAATGATTGTAAGCTGTATGGGCAGCTTAAAACACAATAATACACTCAACGTTACACCCTCCCCCCCCGCACAAATATAATAATACAATTCCCCCCGCACACAAAATAATATACTCCCCCTCATTAACCCCTCCCACATAAAATAATACACTCCCCCCTTATTAACACCCCCACACACAAAATAATAATACACTCAACAACCCCCGAGCCCCCTCACCTGTTCACGTCTTTGCAGGGAGGAGGCTGTGAGCAGGATCGATCCCTGGTGATTTGGGGGTGATTAGTCGATCACCCCCAGATTACCAGGGATCGATCCTCCTCACATACATCTTTTCTTTCGTCCGGAGCTCAGAACTGACAGAGCTCCGGCCAAAGGATGCCAGAGCTGACAGGAGCTGCTCTGCGGTCTGCAACTTACACAGATGCAAACTGTGGAGCTTCTCCCGCAAGTCACATACGAAGTCTGCGACCGTGTGCCTGACCTGTCAGCTAGCTGCGGGCCACATAGTACCGGCTTGCGGGCCGGAGTTGGTCCGCGGAGCGGTACTTGGAGACCCAAATTTTCACTCTCCCTCGCTTTATTTTTACTCGCCAAATGCGAGCAGGCAAGTGGAAATTTGAAGCCCTGCAGTATACAATACATATCCAGCATGATATTTTTCCCCATTGAGATCTGATGCATTTTCAAAGTGTTCCTTAATTTTTTTTAACCAGTGTATTATGCACTAGCCTTTTACAATAGTCTTTACTATTTAAGTATGTCTAGACAAAAATTGTTGTATTTAAATAATTATATTTAATTGTTTGTTGCTTTGTTTATAAAAATGTGGTTTCCAAGACTATTTTTAGCACCGTGTAATGAACCTAATACTTCTGCTATGAAAGATGCTATATTTGTGGGTTGTTAAGATGGGTCTAGAGATATTTAACCCACTTGTATGCCAATAATATATTTTCGTGGACACACACAGCAATGTAAGAGCAATCCTTTTTTTAATTTAGCGAAGGCACAGGAGGTTACAAAAGGATTACAAGCGCTTCTTAAAGTGGACTTTCAAATGCAAGGTTCACTTCCTTTTTTTGACATCCCTCCAAAAATGCTAATTTAATCTAAAAATAAATTAGATGAAAATAGGAAAAAATACTCGCCTTTACTTATGCAAGGGTGAGATCACAGGAAGGTATAGGAGAAGGAGCATAGAAAAGCTGTAAGAATAGAGGAATGCTTTCTCGTAGGATTTGGGATCCTCTGCGTTCTTTCATCCTGCAAAAATATTAACCATTATCCTTACGTAGGTGAAATAACCAGAAGGCAGATTGTAAGATGAGTACTTCTTTTTTTCTGTCATTTGATTTAGTTATTTTTCTTTATGTTTTGATTAAAAGTTTTTCTCTGGAGGTTGGTAAATACGAAATAAGGTGACCTTTCATTTTTATAGGAGTTCCACTTTCAGGTCTGTTTCGTGTGGCATCTATGCTTTCTAAAAGCCCCAGCCGGGCTGATAAACCTCTCAGTTACAAGTTGTGTTAAAGGCACTCCTTTTTACACAACTTGCTTTTAGCCCATTAGAGAGGAAAAATAACAGTTAACAGTTAAAAATGTTTGAGTTATTAGCATAACCTAATGCAGAATGTAGTGTTAGATCACTTTTGGCATTTAACCCTACACTACAGCACATGTATGTGAAATCTACTGCACCTCATTCTGCATTAAAAAAAAAAAAAGTAATCTGGTTCTGGTCTCTACTTTGTTGTATTAGTTGGAGTAATTCCTGAACAGGAAAAGTTAGACAAGCTGCATCACCTTGATGAGCATCTCTAACAAATTTACCTAGGGGCATATTTCCCAGATGTGACCTCATTTGTTTTTGAACCCTGTCCCTCATACTGTATTCTACTTCAATGGCTTTGTTTATGTTTGATATTGTGTAAGGCCTCTATGTAAAAATCTGTGTTTGTTTTAGGAAAGCCTGCTACTTTGGGGTCTGCAGTTTCAGAAAAAGTGAGAACCCGACTTGAGGCACTTGATGATCTCGAGGAAGTGAGTACCACTTTGCTGTTCACTGGGGGAAAAGACAGATTTAGTCAATGGTAAAGCCTTCACTCGTTATCTTTTCCCTCAACACACTTTTGGGCTGATTTATTAAATCTTCAGAAAATTATCATGAGCACTGGATTGATAGGTTAGGAGGGTGTTTGGGTAGAAGCTGTTTTCTTTCTTTTTATTTAAGTTGACGTTTTATCTGCTTATGGCGTCCTTTTTCAGGTTCCACCTTTCCCTTCTCTTAAATATGCAAATTAAATGTTTGGCTAAAACCTTTCTGTCTTCATTACATACCTTATTTTAGTCCCAGTCAACACTGGGTCTCTTTGTTTCTCTATGCAATGCAGGCAGATAATGGCTGGTGGGTGGGACTGGTGGGTTGCTGTGGATAGCTACCTGAAAACACCACAGCACCCTGCCATAATACTTCTCTGGAGTCCTCAGCCCAGATGTAAGCAGTGGGACTGGCTTTTGGGAGGAGTTGTGCAAATGTCAAAATATGCATGTCCATTTCTAATTTAAATTTTCTTTAACTTGTATATTGGAAACATTTGACTTTCTATCAGGCAAGCCCTAAAATTATTCTTCGTGCATGTTTGAGTAGATTTTTAACTGTGCAGTTTCTGACTGTGAATAAGCTCTGTTTCGAGAAAAATAGACGTTGACCATTATATTTCCATTTCCAGGGTTCCCAAAAAGAACTTTTGAATCTGACTCAGCAAGATTACATCAGCAGGATTGAGGAGCTCAACCAGTCTCTAAAGGATGCTTGGGCCTCAGATCAGAAAGTCAAAGCTTTGAAAATAGTCATACAGGTAATTTATTGTATATCTGCTATATTGTTTAGTTTCACCCTTAAGATGAAAACTTCTAGTTAAAAAACTCACATAAACATATATGTTAGGGTTTTTTCTTTAATTCTTTTCCCCCACTGCGCTGAAAATAGACCTGGCCTTTTTAACACATTTGAGATCAGGCCTGTCTTTAACCCCTTCATGACTGAGCTTGTTTTTGGTTTCTGTTCGTAAATGACTGACACACTTTTGACATTTTTGCTGTGTGATTCTTCCACGTCAGTAATATACTTTCTTACAAAGTGCACCCACACATATTATATATTGTTTTTTAGAGGACAGATAGGGCTATATATTTATATCACATATGTGTGTCTAACGCCTCACTTAGGACAAATACAAATTAAAAAAAGAGGAAAAAACGTAAAAAAAAACTTTTTTTCCCAGTTTTGATTTGTAGTATTTTTTTTTAACAAAACCAGCACAGCTAAAAAAAAATGCAATACATACATTCATTTATTTGTCCCTTATTTTTAATTTTTTTACACTTTTCACTATTTTTTTTAATTTATTTACACTTTTCACTTTTTTTATACTGACAAATTTTATTTATTTAATTATATCAGGCAGTCATTGTGAATTAATCTCACTATTACTGCTTGATAAATTAATACATTTTTTTTTATTATCAGGCTGCTTCAAACTTCAGAACAGCCGATAATAAGTTAGTGACACTGATCCTGCAGCAGTTCAGGATTCAGCTGTCAGTGAATGTTTCAGAAAACTTAAACATTCTACTTTCAAGAATAGATACATTATGTGTCTAATACATAACATTTTGTATCTATTCTTGAAAGTCAAAAGATAAAAAAAAAAAAAGCCAGTATAGCTTGAGAGAGATATCTCTCGATCTATACGAGCTGTCAGAATTCCGGCAAAAGCCGACATGTGTGTCTGCTTTGCTGTGACTCTCAGACACCCGATATTAAGGTATCGGGTGTCTGAAAAAGGTTAACCCTTTCAGTAATGGATCTCTAGATAGTTAGACATCTATTACTGAAAGGTAACCGCTGATTCTCAGCGGTTAGCAGCCTTCTAGTGCAGCAAATAACTCGTCACGTACAGTGTACCTGACGAGTCATTTGGTCCCTTTGTGGCTGGACGTACAGTGTACGTCTCCCGTCACGAAGGGGTTAATATTGATCGGACACTGGGCAAACATTTTCCATTTCTGTTCTGTCCTTCATATATATGTGAATAACAGAAATGGAGTGAGCATTTCATGGAGATATACAAATTGTATATCTCCTTTATATTTCTCCTTTTTTATTTTCTCACCTGTCTCAGTCCTCGCCTCGTGACAGTCTGCCTCTTTCCGGATGTTCCCCCAGTGAAGCCCGTGCCGTGTGGCGGGTGCCGGGGCAGGAGCTAACTTTAGGATGCGATCGTGCAGATCGCATAGGACAATACGTTATGGCATTGCCATATGCGGCCGCTGCCATAACGTATTATTCTATGCAATACGATCGGCAATTTTCTGCGGTCAGCGGGCTCAAGGGGCAGATGCTCTGGGCCCCACAACCTTGATTGGGCCCGGGGCAAGTGCCCTCTTTGCCCTACGTTAAAGACGGCCCTGTTTGAGATACATGCCAGTACCCGCAGCCTTACTATCAGTCAAGATCCTGACAAGGGCCAGGGAAAATCTGCATTGAATGCTTCTTTTAGGGCCAGGGGGATGGGGGGGGGGGCGTTGGGGGGTGAGTGCCGCTGAAGTCTGTTTTTATACAATGAGAGACAAAGAGGTTTTAAACAAATACCGCCTAGCATAGGCTTATGCAAGTACTTGAGAACTTCAGATGCTTATCTTGACTGACATGGGATGATGATGGGGGCTTTTTAACATTGTTCTTAATTGCGATTGACCTTTCAAGAGTTGTGAAACAATTCATGCTTCTCTTTCATTAATAGAAGGACACAGCAGAGATCTTGATCTCTGTACCGATGGGTTATACCGCTACAGGAGTAGAATTCTAGGCATAAAAAAGATTGGCTCTGGGGGCGGCTCCTGCTGTTAGCCACACCCTATCCAAGGCAGCTCAGTTTTTTGCCTAGTGTCAAGGAGTAAGGATCTATCTCCCTGCTGGGGATCTTTGTTCTTAATTTTCATCTCATAGGGTATTACATATTCATTTTCTTCACTTTTAATTGATCTTCAGTCAACTGAGTTTGGTGACAGGCCGGATAATATAGATCCTTGTAGTCTCCACAGCTTAGCCATCAAGCGCACACAGTTGTCTGCCTGCGGGCACGTTCCAACCAGCCGCAGTGCGTTCCGGCCCGATTGGGGCCGGCCTACTTTGTGTTGGGACGGGAGGGGGCGTTGTGTTGAACTCAATGGCCACGTCCTCTGGCCGCAGTACGATTGGCTGCGATTGGGAAGGCGTGGCACATCAATGCCTGCATCCCGGTCCCGTCAGAAAAATGCTGCAAGCACTTTCACTCTCTCTCGATCTCTATCTTGCTCTCTCTCGATCTCTCTCTCTCTTGGTTTGTCTCTCTCTCGGTCTCTCTCTCCCTCTTGCATTCTCTCTCTCCCTCTCGGGCTCACCCTCTTGCGTTCCCTCACTTGTGCGCTCACTCTCTCCGAGCGCACTCTCTCGCTCTCTCATATGCGCTTTCTATCTCTCATATGCGCGCACGCTCTCATATGCGCGCGCTCTCATATGCGCACTCACCCTCTCACATGCGCACTCACCCTCTCACATGCTCTCTCATGCGCGCACGCCCTCTCTCTGTCATGCGCGCACGCCCTCTCTCATGCGCGCACGCCCCCACTCGTGCACGCACGCCCCCACTCGTGCGCACACCCCCCCACTCGATCACTGTGATGCGGTCTCTCGCTCACTGTGATGCGGTCTCTCTCTCTCTGTGATGCGGTCTCTCTCTCTCTGTGATGCGGTCTCTCTCTCTCTGTAATGCGGTCTCTCTCTCTCTGTGATGCGGTCTCTCTCTCTATCTGATGCGTTCTCTCTCTCTCTCTCTGATGCGGTGTCTCTCTCTGATGCGGTGTCAAATTCAAATTCAAATAAGCTTTATTAGCACGACCAAATACATTTTAGCATTGCCAAAGCATATGGGAAGGTTATAGGGGGGAGGGGGGGGAGGGTGGTAGTGGGTCATTATTAGTGATAAAGAATGGTATGGGGGAATAGGTAAGTCCATTGACATTATCAGGGGTAAGGGATAATGAGCTTTCTCTCTCTCCGATGCGCTCCCTCTCTCTGATGCGCTTTCTCTCTCTCTGATGCGCTCTCTCTCTCTCTGATGCGCTCTCTCTCTCTCTGATGCGCTCTCTCTCTCTCTGATGCGCTCTCTCTCTCTCTGATGCGCACGCTCTCTCTCTCTGATGCGCACGCTCTCTCTCTCTGATGCGCACGCTCTCTCTCTCTGATGCGCACGCTCTCTCTCTCTGATGCGCACGCTCTCTCTCTCTGATGCGCACGCTCTCTCTCTCTGATGCGCACGCTCTCACTCTCCCCCTGATGCGCTCTCTCTCTCTCCCCCTGATGCGCTCTCTCTCTCTCCCCCTGATGCGGTCTGTCTCTCTCATGCAGTCTCTCTGTGATGCGGGTTCTCTCTCTATCTCTTTCTGATGTGGTCTCTCTCTATCTCTCTCTGATGTGGTCTCTCTCTGAGAGTTGAGTTGAAGTCTGCCACGTTCAGTTAATATTTACTGCCATCTCTTTAAGAGGCAGTGACTTGGATATTATGACGGTTAGCCCTGTGTTACTGTGCATATGGTGCACGCACAGTTCCTTCTTTTGGAGTCTTCCATGGTGGTACACCGCTTACTAGGCAGTGGGCAGCGGGCAGCAGCGTTTTTAATTTTACTTCTCTTGAGCCTTATGAAGGTGTTTTGTTTTTTTTTGAGCCTTTTATTGAAAAATATGAGGCTCTTGTCCTTGTCCACAGTTACACAGCCATTTTCTTCTTTTCTTCTTTTGTCAACGGAAGTGGGTACAGTGCCTCATTTGTTTTTTGTTTTTTTACCAGTCGGTATCGTGAGTAGTGTAGGAGGAAATTGTGGCACTTGAATTCTGCTATAAACTGTTAATGAGTTTATGAATTAAGGGGTGAGAGTGCTTTATTTCTAAAGAGTCTGTTTCCTTGGTTAATTTTGTGCTGTTTGTTAACCAGAGGTTATTATCAAAAAAATTGTGTGAATTGTGTTTTAAAGAAGAACTCTCGGCATAAATATTCTTAACCCCTGCAGTGGCGTGGGGCTACCCCCACACTGCAAGGGTTAAGTGCTTGCTTTCATCTTGAGACAAAATAACAAAGATAGACTTACCTGAACCTTGCAGCTGGTTGGCTGCAAGACCGGTCCCTTCAGCCTCGCTCCCCCTCCACTCTGGCATTCCTAATGTCCTGTGAGTCATCACATCCTATACAGTGCTACTGGACAACATGGGGAAGATCGGCCCGCAATACCCCCCGACAAAGGCACCCCCCACGAAAGGGAACCCGCAAAACAAACAGGTACCGGACATATTCCGCTCCCAACGCCAGGAGTCCCCTGAAACGCCACCTCCCAATATGGCGGCGACATCCTCCGCCAGGCCTCGCTATCCGACCCTGCGGACGACTCCATGGACACATACATCAGGCACTTACCAACTCGGTCCGACTTATCATCCACAGCAGAGGACATTAAAGATACCCTGCACACGGCGGTGTCCGAACTGCGGGATGACATCCATGACATCCATGACATCGGAAGGAGTGTAGTGGAGCGTGAGGGAGCAGCTAGAGATATGGCGCTTCGCAGTCTCCGCACACACCAAGATTCTACCACTCACACCCTCATTACCATGAGACGCCAACTAGAAGATCTGGACAACAGGGGCCGCAGGTCCAACATAAGAGTCTGTGGGCTCCCAGAATCAATAATGCCGGACACAGTGTCCACCGCCCTTCTCTGGCTCTTCAATGACCTCCTGGAAAGGCCTCTGGACTCCCCC